TCTTCTTTTTCTTTGCTTTCTCAAACTTCTATACAAAGTATTGACTCTAACAGATTTTATTTTCAAGGTGAATTAATTTGAATTGTTTCCGTACCCACTCTCCAGCAGGTATCCCGCCTCTGGTCTGATCCCCCAAGTGGACTACATGCGAAAACTTTAAGGATCCTATTAATACTCATATATATACATGCTTGGGAGCTATGAGATTCATAATAACACCAGAAATGTAATAAAAGTACTCTCCTTAAATAGTGCTTTTGTAATAATATAAGATGTTGAGATTTCTTCCCCAAGACCTGATTCCTCTTTAACTGAGAGACCACTGGCCTCTGGAATCAGAGAGTCCAAGATTGAAACCCTCTGATCCTCGACCATCTATCAAGGAGACTCGCCTCGGGCAAATTACTTCACTTTCCTTTTTCAGCTCTCTAGTGGATAAAATGGGAGTGATCACCTGTATTAAAGGTGAAAAACAAGCCTTGAGGAAAGGGGGCTGAACTTTGGAAGTCATGGGAAGACTGGAATGTCTGGAAAAGCAGGTTACTTGGCACAGCGCTCCCACACTGGATGAGGGGTACCTGGGCAGGATAGCAAGGCTCCCAGCTAGTGACTAAGTCCCAGGACCATAGCCAAGGATGGGAGGAGAGGGAGGGATGGAAGGGGGTATAGAGGCCTGCAGCAGACATAGTGCTGTTCTTCTAAAACTTTAAGAGAAGCACAGAAAAGGGTAGGCAAGTCATGATGCTTTGGTACCGAGGTGATAAAGCGAGGGGCAGGTTAAACTGGCACCGAGCCAGGCCTTTCCACTCTTCTGCCCAGGACAGAAGACCTCAGGAAACCTGGCCCTCCATGAACCCTTAGGGATGTATCAAATGAGGAGTGAGGACAATTCTGGGAGCAACAGGCAGTAAACTGCCAACCATGTACAAAGGGGACATTAGCAATTGTCAATAGGTAGGTGGGAACCATGCAGAAAAGACTCTGAGGTCTTTTGAGGAAGAAAGAATTGAACCTCCACCCTGCTTTCAAACTACAACTCTTTCCTGGGTCTCCAGCCTGCTGGCCTGCCCTGCAGGTGTCCAGACCAGTAATCACATGAGCCAAATTCCGAAGCCTCTATCTCTCTCTATCTCTGGCCAGACCTGAAAAAGTGGCTGAAACCGGTTTGGCTCAGTGGATAGAGCGCCAGCCTGTGGACTGAAAGGTCCCAGGTTCGATTCCGAAAGGTCCCAGGTTCGATTCCGGTCACGGGCATGTACTTGGGTTGCGGGCACATCCCCGGTGGGGGGTGTGCAGGAGGCAGCTGATCGATGTCTCTCTCTCATCGATGTTTCTAACTATCTCTCTCCCTTCCTCTCTGTAAAAAATCAATAAAATATATTTTTTTAAAAAGTGTAGATTCCTCAGATACATATTTTAATTTCTAGAATAAACACACGAACACACACAAATGTTTGATTAACCGAAAAGGAGACAGGTGATCTGAGTATTTTGGCTGTGTAACAAACCACCACAAACATAGAGATGTGCAACAGTAATTTATTTTGCTCATATATTCTGTGGGTCAGGAATTAGGACTGGACTCAGTGGGATCTGCTTGTCCCTATACCATGATGTCTGGTATCTGAACTGGAAGGTCAAAGGCAGGGGGATAAAATTAGCAGAAGGCTTATTTTTTCATGTCTGGGAGTTGATGCTGGCTCACCCCTGCATGATGATGGGGGCATCATTTCTCCTATATTGGGGTCTCAAAGTGGACTTATGGCATAGACTAGTTTGGGCTTCCTCACAGCTTGATCTGTGTTCCAAGGGCAAACCTCCTGAGAAAACACCAACTACAGACTATATCCTTTTTTATAATAGACTAGAGGCCCGGTGCAGACA